GGAGCAGAGGCGCCAGGCAGAGGCCGCGGAGCAGAGGCGCCAGGCAGAGGAGCAGAGGCGCCAGGCAGAGAGGGAAACCTCAGTCAGAATATACCAGTATAGAAGGTCTGTCCCCACAGCCAAAGGGCACGTGTGATTTTTCAGTTAGCTTGGCTTAGCTGTATCTATTCCCCACTTCAAAGGCACCTAACTGGTCTTCCTGCTCCCTTCCCTCCATTCTCTACACACCTGTCACCTTACTTCCTGTCACCTTACTTCCCTGCTTGAAGTCTCCACATGGCTTCCTCTCACATTAGAGTACCATCCAGAGTCCTCCCCATGGCCTAGAAGGCCTGTGTGAGCTGGATCTTGGATCTTTGATCTACCTAGCTTCCTACCACTCTTCCCCTCACTCGGTCTGTTAAAGCCACCCTGGCCTCCTTTTCCTTCCTTGAAAATGCCCAACATATTCTGCCCCTGGACTTTTGCATTTTCTAGTCTCTGTGCCTGGAGAAGTCTCCCCTCACATGTTTGTATGTCTGCCTTTTTTTTAAAGTCTCTGCTCAAATGTCACCACCTCAGACTTTCCAGAATACCTCATCTAAAATACATGCCTCTTCCCCACTCCTTCTCTCACTGCCCCTTACCCTGCTTTATATTATGCATTTATTGTTTGTCTGTGGCCTGCCTGTCCCACTAAAATGTCAGTGTTAGGAGGCAGTAAATTTGTTTTGTTTACTTCTGTAGCCCAGCACTGGAACGTACTGGAACACAGCAGGCACTCAGTCGGTATTTGTGGAATAAACGAATTGTGAATGTCTGGTAGTAGTAGGTCTCTTTTTCTGCGGTGATTGATTGAAATACTTCTATATGTTCAGTTTTGAACCCAGAGACCATTTTCATAAAGAGGCTAGAATAATGTTATTTTGATATCCATATCTTAAACTCAGGGAAGGCATTAAAATCTAATCTTTTGACCATAAGCTCTTTTTCCATCTTTTAGGCCTGTTGATTCCTATGATGTACCAAAGAGAGAGGAAGAATCTTCAGGTTTGCTTTCTAGTGACAGGTGTGTAGAACATTTAATTATAATTGGATTAGAGTAATTGGCTTCAGATGACTATTTGAGGGCTTGCCTAGATGTTTTGTGGAACTACTTTAGTGCTTGGTCTTTGGTGGGATACAAAGAGATCTTGCTGGTTGATCTTTTTATCAATTAGCCTTTGCTGTGTAGCCAACTACCCCTAAACCTAGTGACTTATGATTTTGTGGGTCAGCGGTTGGCAGATCTTTTAGTTGATGGGGCTCCTCATGCATCCACTACCAGTTTACTAGCCAGCTCTGCTTTTGGGAGTTGGCTGGCTGTCAGCTAGGGCAATGAGAACAACTAGGCCATGTGTCTTTCAACATCCAGCAAGCCAGTGCAGTCTATATACTTGGTGGCTGGGCAGGGAAAAGAGAGAATTAAAGAGAGGAAGTGTGCAAGGCATCATGTGGTCTAAGTTCTGATTGCTTCTGCCACATTTCTTGTATCTAAAGTCATGAGGCCACCCAAGTTCATGGAGAGGAGAAAAACTACCTCTTTATGTCAGGAGCCACAACGCAAAGGGAATAAGACACAGGGGAAGAATTGTGTTCATTTTTTGCAATCTGCCTTAACCTTTATTTTAAACAAGTTATAAGCAATGGCATAAGCTTACCTAAAATAAAGTTACATGTGGACATCTGAAATGAGAATTGTGGCCTTTCTCTTAGTTTAATTAGAACTACTGGTCCGTTTCAGGGAATGAAGACAGGATTTCAGATATCTGAAAAGTTGTGCACATCTTAAAATTTCCTAAAATGTTAAGTTTAATGTTTTAAAGTAATTTTTAAAATGGTTTTCACTTTTGAAGTCACTGAGGTCTTCTGAACAGTCTTTCTATAAATATCCAGTGTATGACTATTAATTTGTGTTTTCAGAGCTGAGATTTCTTCCTTAGGAAGTTTGCCGTAGAGATAAGGAAAGACCTCTGTAGGCAGTCAGGATGACTGAATAGGGCTCAGAGTAGATAAGGAAAAGAAAAGGAATATACAGGTAGTGATAGGCTGACATTAAGCTAGAAAAAATTTCTAGTGATGGATGACCTTATTTGTAATGAATGTTTCCAGGTAACTATAGATCATTAAAATCTCTTTTTTAAAGCTATGGATTTATTTATATATTTAAATAAGCTTTATTTATGTAGCTCATTACCTTGAAAAAATAATTAGATTGCAGAGAAAGGGAACTTAAGGAATCCTGGAAAAAATGAAACACTTCTATGCAGTTGTGGTATAGAGGCATTCAGGAGTGTGGCTGGACAGCTTGAAATAAAAGTATTTTCTTCTATATAAATACAAATGCAACCATTCATGAATGTTGCTGACAGTTGTGATACATTATTATGTAATACACATTATTATATGTTGTATTGTATACATATACATGTGCAAGACGTGTGTATATATGTATATACACATATGTATGATAAGGCATATGATGTGTATTATTATTCATTATTGTTACTATTATTTGAAGTTATTGTGCTTAGTAGAGTGAGAGTGAGGTCAGCATGTGTTGATATATAGACCTAAATTTTACCATTACAAAGTCGGGCATTTTCACAAGTTGTCTTTGCCAGTACACTCCAGTACCTCTTTGGAATGCCAGGATAGCATCTGGGAAGTTGCTGTTTCAGAGTGGTACCCTAATGCCCCAAAAGTTGGCTTCTTGACCCTCGGGCAGCATGCAGGAAGTGGGACAGTTTGTTACCTGATCTGGAAGAGTCCAGGTACACAAAGTTATCAGAAATCATCGGCTTAAGCATCATACAAACTGTAGAGGATTTTCACATTTATATCTATTTCTAGCATCAAGCTCTTCTCTCTTTTTGAGATGCCACTGTTTTTGCTAGTTTGTGCAGGATGAAAAATCCCTTGGTGTGAAAATAAATATAGCTCTCAACAGACATAGGAAATAAATCAATTACTTTAAAAAGTGATCTTTTTGGTGTTCTTACTTCGTAAATATGAAAAGGATGTTCTTAATGCAACATATGTAATATATTGTGTTCTGTGTTTTAGGAATAAATCCAAATCCACTACTGAACTGGATGGTTACTCCATAAATAAAAATGGTAAATGTGAATTTTTTCAAAAGTCTTCAGCACAGTTGCTTATTTATGCTATCACATGCTATGATCAGTATTTTTAAGGTCAAGATATTACAGGTTCATTAAGATTACATTTAAATTAAAATAACCAAGTATTTTCAGTATTTGTTTATAAAAAACTATCTTGTGCTTATTTTGGCTTCACTTTCTAATGGAGGGAGCACTGGGAGATTAAAATGGTTTTAAATAACTAATAAAATATGTGGAAATTTTACAAAGTAATGCAGATACAGTTTTGTATAGTAGATTTCATCTTGCCAAAGAAATGGGACAGAAAAGTCTTCTGCAGAGTACCAGGGGACTTAAAAATTGTGTATGAACTTGAAATTGTGCATTTAAATGACAACATAGCAAAAAATCCAAAGTGATAATGATTTCCCTAACTTGGCAAAAACAATTTGTAACCTGATAGTGTTAGTATAAAGTGTATTTCTAGGTAGACATGGAACCAAAGTTTTATAACCAAGAAAAGTAAAAAAAGCAAAAAGCATCATTTTAAGCAGGGTTTGCATACCGGGCTTTGCGTCAGCAGAGTGCTGGTCAGTTATGTCAACAAGTGAAGGTTCAGGTGAGGACTGAGATGGACTCGGTGGACACGCCCATCTAAGTGGACAGCCACTCCCCAGCTCCAGCCTGTCACTGCCATGTGGACAAATGCAAGGCTGTGATTGCCAACTGTTTCTGTTGTAAAGAGAAACACAAAACAGAACAATCTGGATTTTCATGTTATCTTTTAAGTGCTGACAAGGAATTAAAGAAAAAAATTAAAACCCTCTGTGAGCCAAGCAACACATCCCTAGGCACGAGTGGTCTGGTGGCAGCTAGTTTGTAACCTCTGGTTAAAGCTTGTAGAATTTACTGTTTCTGTTAGGTTCTATGACCACCCCTGTCCCTTAACATATAGGACCTTTCATTATCTGGTCCTAGTTTAACTTTACAGCCTATTTGCTGTTTTTCCCCCGTAAGAACCCGTAACTATAACCAAATTGTTTTCTCTCTCAGTTCTCGACTTACCAGATGCTTTCTCATCTGGTTCCTCTGGTCTTACACTTCTCTGTTTGCATTTCCGGTTTCTTCTCCCCTGAATTTGCCCCTAACCACCATTAAAATTAAAGTGTAAGTACTTTAATCTGCCACGAAACTTGTTTAATCTGCACTGATCGTATTCTCTCTGGAACTTAAACACAGGACCTGTTAGTTATGACAGGTGTGAATCTCTGAAATAGTCTAGTTGATATCTGTGGCTTGTGTTATTAATCTGGTTATTTTTGTATGTATATTTTCTCCCCTTTACTAACTGTAAGCTCCTGAATATCAGCCAGTGGTAGTTATCAAATATTTAACTGAAAAACTTGGCTATGCCAATAAGGCACTTTTAAAGTAGAAAACCATTTATTTAAAATCGGACCACATTGATAAGCTGTTTGTATATACAAATACAAATGTAGGTGTTTATACACAACCTTTGGGGGCCTTGCTCATTGCTTAGTGGAAGATGAACTAATGCAGTGACACACCATGAATTTTGAAAGAGTGGCAATAGCAAAGAATCTGGAGACCGAAAGACAGTAAATCCTGAGATGAGATTTCTTAATCCAAATTAAGGTGGAGAGGATACTTCAAAATGATGGATGTTTTACCCAAATCAGAAATTAATCAGCAAATCCAGGGAGACAAAGCTTTCAGGATAAAAGCTGACTTAATTGTCATTCATAAATTCAACATCCAAATGATAGCTCTGTCAGTTTCTTAGAGCAGAAACAAGTCTGATAATATTCCTTGGTTATCATTTGGATTCCTTGGATATTTTTTAATTTCACAAAAGCCATTTCAGTGACTGAATATGCTTTTATTCCTACAATTTGGTCATGACTTATACCATGGAGACTCGAGTCATGTCAGCTAGAGATGTGTGCATTTATGTCTCTGCTCTCCCCAGGGTGGGTGTAAGTTTTTGGAAGAATAGAACTCCCTGTTCTCTTGCAGAGTTGTCAAAGCAAGCATTTGATGAGCATGTGCTTGATTGATTAATTTAGGAAGGAAGGGAAAAGTGCAAGAGAAACTATTTCTAGAGGAGCATTTTATAATTTAATATTGCTGACATCAATGCTGATCGGTTCCTTTTTAGGCAGCCTCCTTAGTTTTCCAGAGTGTGCTCTGTGGTATGCTTCTGGGTGTGTAACTGAAATTTCCAGGAATAGGAGACTGTTACTTTATGTTCCCATGCAGCAATCTCACTGAGAATTGATAGCGTTAGCAATACGTGCACAATGTCACATTTTTTGCTACACTCTGCTTGGAGATTTATCCACTATCCGCTTTTTTGATGTGCTAATGCTGCAGTTTTTGATGTGTTTTTAATGTAGGAAGCAATAAATATGTAGACAGAATTGGGAACACCAGCTCATCACAGAAGAGCTCCAAAAAGGAGCAAGTCCCCTCAGGAGCTGAGTTGGAGAGACAACAAATCCTTCAGGAAATGAGGAAGAGGACGTCCCTCCATGATGACAACAGCTGGATCCGACAGCGCAGCTCGAGTGTAAACAAAGAGCCGGTTTGTCTGCCTGGTCTTATGAGAAGGTGCGAGACAACTTGGGAGTTATTTCCTCTTCTGCAGTTTGAGGCAAATATTTAATTTCTAGACATGCTGGCTACTTTAGACAGAAGAGATAAGAGAAAAATCTTCTCTTATCTAAGATTTAGTGGGAGAAAAGGAGGTGGGACAGATGTCATTGGGCGTTTATTACATGCCAGACATACGCCAGTTGCTTTGTTTATATCATCTCACTTAATCTGGGGAAAGTGTTTTGAGGCAGGGATAGTAATTCTGTTTTTCCATATGAAGAAACTCTGGCGCAGGCAGGGAGTACACTTGGACAAAACCACATGGCTGATCTGTTGGAAAGCTGGGTATAGGACTCTGCAGTGTGATTAGCCACTTAAATTACTCATGCCGCCCTTAGTGCTCCCTTGACTGCTCAACTTTAAAAAAAAATTAAGCCTTGTTTGTTTATAATGAGATAATGGTTAGATTAGAATTATGATAGTAGTGTTCATAAAGTGTGAAAACCTAATTTTTGTAACTTTAAGAAAAATATATAGGTATAAATTAATTGGAAATGAGAGAATGAACATTTTAAAAGATGTATCTTGGGTCAATGAATACTGAAGCTACTTTTATTTAGTATTTCCATAGCTGGCAAACTGAGGAACATTATTTGCAACACATTACAGATAGAGGGCTGATTATGTCAATATACAAATAACTTTTGTAAATCAGTAAATAAACCCTGACAGCTTATTAGAAACTGACAAGTCATATGAACAGATGGTTCACAGAAAAAGAAACAAGGTCAATAAGCATATAAAAGATCAACACTACTCCTAAAACAACGATACATCTCACTTTATGGGATTTGTAGAGAGTTAAACGATTGATTAAGTCTAGTATTGACAATTGTATAAGGAAATAGTTCTTGTTCCCAATCGAGTGGACAGTTTTTCTGTGTTTATTAAGCAAATGTTTTAATATCTATACCCTGTGAGCAATTTAGTTTCTGGCACTTTATTTTCTGGATATATTTGGATAGGTATGTAAAGATATATCAAAGGATATACACTTAAATATTATTGGCAATACAAAAACAAAGTAATCAGAATGTCTACTAATAAGAGTGTACTTAGTACTTGTTAAATAGTAGCACACTGATAAGGTAGCATACTAGGCAACTATTAAAGAATGAAAGAGACATATTGCTGCATAATACACCACCTCACAACTTAGTGGGTTAAGATAACAATTCATTATCTCTCTCAATTATGAGGGTTGACTGGACAGTTCTTTGCATTGTGTTGATGGGGGCACTTGGGCAACTGTAGTCATTTAGAGCTGGGGTTGGCAAATTTTTTTGTATGAAAGACCAGATAGTAAATAATTTTAGGCTTTGTAGTCCACATAAGTCTCTGTCACATATTCTTTGTTGTTTTTTTATGACTGTTTGAAAATATAAAACACCCTTAGCTCATGAATCGTGGGTATCCTGGCAGTGGGCTATAATTTGCTGACCCTTGATGTAGATGTTCCACAGAGAGCTCAGCTGGAGCTATTGTTTTTCATATGGACCTGTCCACATAGCTGCTTGGACTGACTTATGACATGGCACCTGGATTCAAAGAGGAACCCTTGCAAGAGGATAAGCCCTACCGTGCAAGTGCTTATCACACCTCCATTTGTATCATGTTTGCTAATGTCCCATTGGCCAACACATCACATGGCCAAGCCCAGAATCAGTGGGTGGGGGACTACACAAGGGCATGGATACCAGGAGGATGATTCATTGGGGGCCACCAAAGTACTGTCTATCATATGAACTGACATGAAGATAGTTCTAAAATAATATATATTATATGGAATAAAGCAAGTTTTAAGAATATGTTATCAAATAATCCCATTTGTTTAAGAATGTTAAACACATGAACACATTACATGTTTATATAGACATGGCTATACTTACATATGTAAATTTGTATGTATATGTAAATATGTGCTTCATATGTGAGTAAAAGTCTAGAAGGATAACAGAGTTAACAGTGGTTTCCTCTGGGGATTAGGGCAGGTAAATTGTGGTGAGTGAGAGAGCGGGAACCTTATTTCTCCCTCAGATACCCTTCTCTACTGCTTGGGTCTTTCTTGTCATGATGATGTAGTACTTTTATAATATTAAAAGAAAAAATACATATCTCAAACTTGGGATAAGAGATGAAGTTTTAAAAGTAATAATAACAAAGTTGATCAGGTAGAATAAACCCTTCAAAATTTGGAGTCAATTTTTGTAAATCAGAATTAATGTAAGTACGTGACTTCATTTAAGAGAGATTTTCTAAAAGTTGTATTTAAATCAGTTTGTGAGCTAAATCCTACTTTAAATGCATGTTCAATTTAAGGGAAGTGGCTGGTGAGTGTTTCTATAATGTAGACACTTGAACAGTTGTTTAAATTTAGAGTTTTGGGTGGTGAGTGAATGAGGGCTGCACAGTAGGGAACAGTCTGGGTTAATTTGGAATCAGGGAGACTTTGATTTGAAAGTCATCTCCACCACTGAGTAGCCCTTTTTACTATAAATAAGTGAACTTCTGTGAGATCTAAAAAAATCCTACATAGTGTTGTGAAGATTAAATAAATTTAGTATTTTTGTAACAGTGTTTAGTCTAATACCTGACATATGTAAGTGCCTGAGAAGGTAATTTTTTGGGTATTAAAAATTAAGATTAATATGTCCAAAAAGTTGAAGATTTAAAGGATGAATGTATGTCATCTTTGTCCTAGTATTTTATTTTAAAAATATTATTTCTTTTAGTATTTTCCTTTCTACTTTGGTATTTATTCTTTTACCTAAGCACCAAGTAAATAAAATTAAAAACAAGTGAAGGTTAATTGAATATGAAACATCATGATGCCTCTGATGAAAAACTTATTTGTGAAAGGTTATTTTATATGTAACTGGACTTGTTAGATTAATACTTATAAAAATACATAAAAAGGATATTGACTGTTGTAATGATAAGTAGATTTCTAGTAGTTGAATGTATTATATAATTTTGATTAATCTTTTCTGTGTTTCAGGGGTGAATCTCTAGATAACCTGGATTCTCCAAGATCCGGTTATTGGAGACAGTCCACTTGGCTCAATCAGCCTGCAGGAGTCTATGCTTCTTCCTCTGTTCAAGACTTCAGTCGCCCACCACCTCAGCTGGTGTCCACATCAAACCGTGCCTACATGCGAAATCCATCCTCCAGCATACCCCCTCCTTCAGCTGGGTCTGTGAAGACCACTGTACCTTCCCCTACACCGCGCAGCCATTCCCCTTCAGCTGCACAGTCAGGCTCCCAGCTACGCAACAGGTGAGGCCTTTAGGGTTTCTCATTTTTTCCCTTGGTCTCAGAGGTATTTTTTTCATTAAAACTTTCCCCAAATCTTGTCCAAGCTTTCCAATGAAGAAGAAAAAACAACTTTTTTGAATGTCACATTCAATGTTCCTTTACCAAATCAATTAAAAAAGGTTTCTTAATACCTTTCCATGCTACCCTAAGAGCATTTATGGATGTCTTATGAAGCCTTTGGAAGCCTTTAAAATGCTTCCTGGGGCTGCCCCGGTGGCGCAAACGGTTAAGTGCGCATGCTCCGCTGCGGCAGCCCGGGGTTCACAGGTTCGGATCCTGGGCGCACACCAACGCACTGCTTGTTAAGCCATGCTGTGGCAGTGTCCCATATAAAGTAGAGGAAGATGGCCACGGATGTTAGCTCAAGGCCAATCTTCCTCAAGGAAAAAAAAGGGGGGAGGATTGGCATCAGATGTTAGCTCAGGGCTAGTCCTCCTCACAAAAAAAAAAAGAAAAAAAAGAAAAAAAAAAAAATGTTTCCTTCATTGCCACTGTCTCATTTGCTTGTGGTCAATGTCTTAAATGCAAATGTGCCTGAATAGTTCTCAGTGTGGAATCATAAAAATATACAGTGTTTCATGAATGCATTTTAAATTTATGAGTAAAAGCATTATTGTCAAATGTTCAACTGTTTTAATGACATTATAACGCAAACTCATTTTATAGGAACTGAATGTAAAAAGAAGGCATTATAACCAGGCTCTACCATCTGTGGAACTTTTAACAAGCTGGATAAAAAAAAATATTAAGTAGTTAGATATTGCTTTTTGGATTTTTGATTTCCAAAACCATTGTTTGCCTCTTATCTGGTTTGCCAAAATTTTGTTCAGACTACACTGACTTCTGTAGGTCATATGCCGCAGGAACTGTGGAAGCGTTATGATAGGTCTTGACTTGAAGCTTGCCTTTTGATGTGGAGTGAAGCTCAGATATCGACACGTGTTGGGCTTTTAGATCTGTGTAGCTTCTCCATGGATCATCAATGCTTCATGAAGTCACACACAGCAGTGTTTCTGCTGTTATCTGAAGGGAGTTCTACTGGCATATACTATTTTTTTTTTTTTTGTGAGGAAGGTCAGCTCTGAGCTAACATCCATGCCAATCCTCCTCTTTTTGCTGAAGAAGACTGGCCCTGGGCTAACATCTGTGCCCATCTTTCTCCACTTTATATGGGACGCCGCCACAGCATGGTCTGACAAGCGGTGCGTTGGTGCGCGCCCGGGATCCGAACCCGGGCTGCCAGCAGCGGAGCGCGTGCACTTAACCGCTACGCCACAAGAGGGGCCCCAGGCATATACTATTTTTCATCACAAATGAAAAACTGAAAAGTAGAAACACAAAGATTAATATTGGGATTGTTTTTAGCTATCAAATAAAGGATTTTGTTGAGAACATATTTTATATCCATCTAAAGTGTTACTTGTATCAGGATCTATGAAATGTGTATCAGGGAGTTTGAATTAAGAGAATAAGGAGTAAGGATTTATGGTGTTTTTTGGGGGAAGATGAAGGCCATGGAGGGGAGGAAAGGCAGAGGAGACGGTACCCATTTACTAACCAAGAGCCCCATCCTCAGCAGACAGGAGACAAGCATAGGTTTTTCTGCCCTGAGAAGGTCTCTATCTAGGAGGTGGTGCTCTAGCATGAGGCACTCAACTGCTGTGCACTTTTCATTGTCCCTGAAGTGCTGTGCTAGTGCTGTGGGATGCAAAGGTAAGAAGTGACCTTCACCTTCCTGCCTGGGAGACGAGATAGACTTATATCCAGAGGAAAGTGGAAACTCTCCTTACCTACCTAAATGGTGGCTGTCAGGCAGTTTTCATTTCATTCTCTGCAGAGGCAGTCCTGTAAGCCAGAGGCACAGCTGGGAAAGCACCAATACTTCTGTTAAACTAGAATTTTGGTTGAATGGGAAAGAACTGGGAAAACAAGGTTGAGATGGTAGGTTGAATAGACTTACAATGCCTCTAGGAAGAAGTTGGGGCTGCTCTTTTAGTGTTCGGATGGGTGGAATGATATGATTAGAGTTGTGCTTTGGCAGGTTTCACTGGCAAGAAGATGTTGGCTGGATTAGAGGAGGGAGAGACTATTGCTAAGAACAGATGCGATCTAAGGAGGATAGTCATGAAGTGCAGGATGGACTAATTACACTGAAATTGTTCATGTGACTAGGTATCAAGGGTTTCAGAACTGTGATGGAGATCCTTCAAGGTACAATATAATCAAAGCGTACTTTGGTTGGCTGGTCAATGTTTTCCTCTCACAGAGATATAGAGACTCTCCTAAATTGGTATTAATGTTAATACCAGAGTGTGATTTGTAAATAATAACCTTGAACTGTGCAGATGAAAGCCTCCATTCCATTCTTGTTCCGCGTCTAGGTCAGTCAGTGGGAAGCGTGTGTGCTCCTACTGTAATAACATTCTGGGCAAAGGAGCCGCCATGATCATCGAGTCCCTGGGTCTTTGTTATCATTTACATTGTTTTAAGGTGAGACTGAGACAAACAGCCTGCAGGCCCGCAAAGCTTTGCTTGGAGAGCGCATGGCTTTTTGAGCGCTGGGTGTGGACGTGCCACTAACGAGCTAGATGCTACATTTGTTCGTCTGTGCTGCACTTTGAATTGCAAATTGCCTACTACTACTAAGTTCTCAAATCTTGAACCTAGTTTCAAAAGTTAAATCTAGAAACACTATCCACTTCCTGTCTCCATTCTCTTAAGATTTTATAAGTAAAATTTACAGTGCAGAAATGCTTTCTCTAACATGCTGTCGTAGGCATATTTGAAATGTAATTTACCAATGTTGTTAACAGCATGGGGACATGCAATTATAACGGTGTCCAAAAGCCTAGCTTTGAATAGAGTGAGTATGGAAGAAAAAGCATGGTAAATATTTTTACAGTTGCATAGCCTGCTTACACCTGATGGTTCTTGCACATAAGAAAGAACTAAGGCTGCAACTGCTTTATTTTGCAGTGTCTGTCTTTAGAGACACATTTATCTGATTCTTGAACTTGTGTTGGGCCGGAGAGAGATTCTGGTTGTTGATCCTGGAGTCCCACAGACCACAGCCTGTTTAAGCTTACACATCACTGGCTTGGGTTGTTCCTAGGCATAGCAGAATGAGTCAAAATCATTAGCGTTTGGGCACGTGGAACCAAAATACCCAGCCTTGAAGCAAAAGCACCATGTGCGAACACTTGCCAAGCTAGTGCAGTGGGGACTCTGGGCGTGGCTCCCCCCAAGGTGGAGTGCCAGAAACCCAGTCTTCATTCATTTCATCACTTCTTTCATGTAGTGCTGTAGCCTCTCTCATTCCCCTGGCAGGAATGAAGACTAAATTTCTTCAAGCCAATCAGCGAATCATTTCCACTCTTTTGGTATGTTTAGAATGATCATCTTAGTTCTTAAAATTGGCTTTATGGATTCTTTAATGTCTCATCTGGTGGGCTTGATTTTAATTTACTAATTATCTTTTGGCATTTTTTTTCTTTGCTGAAACATATCTAAGAGCTTAGAAGCTGCATTTGCTCAATTTTTTTTTTTCCTGGGAGTGCCCCAAACTTTCTTGAGCTGACCAAGTATGGATTTTTTTTTTCTGTCCTCCAGTGTGTGGCCTGTGGGTGTGAACTCGGAGGCTCTTCCTCAGGAGCCGAAGTCAGAATCCGAAACAGCCAGCTCTACTGCAATGACTGCTATCTCAGATTCAAATGTAAGAGAGCAAATCAGAGAGAAAATCTCCTGTCTTTTAAGGAAACCCCGAGTTCCCATGCATTTCCCTGAACCTGCAGCCATCTCCCCCTCAAGCTCCCTGCCTTAGAACTCAAGTCAGGAATCGTAGTGTGTCCCCTTCAAAGAGGGTTCGGGGAGTGGGTCAGTGCTCAAGATCCCAGCCACACAGGGTGGGTTGTGGGGCTGAGGAGCTGAGAGGGACGTGAGCCTGAGAGTCAGGATGGTGTCCTGTGCAGTCTGCTCAGAGTCTGGAGAAACTTCTGATGACTCGAGGATACAAACAAACCAAAACAGACAGTTAAATGAATCTTCTGTGTAGACTGTCATCTATTTCTTGGCTAAGGATTGGTTCCTCATCATAAGCTGATTTCTATTATTTAACAATGGGCTTTGATTTAGAATATGACCAACTTTAAAAACTGGTTTAAAATAGTGAAGAGTAGTCAGTTTATGCTTTGTTACTATATAGTCATGTATCAATATACAATATTTTAAAAAGAAAAGCACTAATTTTGTTTATATGGTGTTTCAGTGTCATTTTTGGAAAAATTGAGTTTTTCAAAAACTTCACATGCTAATTTGTGTCTAAGCATGTTTTTGTGTGTTATAAAACATAGGATAGGGTAATTAGATTGCATATTGTTTATAGCTACTTAAAGACAACCATTACTGCTGTTTCTGTTTTGAACCTTGATGCTGGTAACGTGTGTTTCTTCCTTATTGTGAAAGGGTGTTACAAGTGGTATCAGCAAAACCATTTGCTTTTGAGCTCTGAGGTATTTATGTGGCCCTTTATGTGAAGAGTGCTTTGGAAATGGTTTAAACCCAGTCAACTCTCTTTTATCTGTCAGCGGGTTCTGAGCCTTCTTACTCCAGTAGTCCAGTCCTTTCCTGGACGCTGCCACTCAGGATGGAGAGTGTCAAGGCTGGGCGTGTGACGGGGGGAGTGTGTGTATGTGTGTGCGCTTTTCTCTCTTTAATCAAATTCCAAAGCCAAGTAGAATTGATTTTTGGAATCATCATGGAAAAATTGCCCATGCCTTTTCTCTCCTCTAATACAGATAATAGAGAGTTGAGTGTAACTTATTTCTAGATCAGCAGTTAAATTTTACTTCATTTTTGCAAATAAAGAATTCTAGAAGCCAGAGGCTGTGATTTGCCTAGCTTTATCCTAAGTGAGTGAGAAGGTTACTGTTTCTACCTCACGGGGCCACTCTCTGAGTGATTACTGCGATGTGTCCCAGGTGGCGATATTCAAGTGTCCCTGAATCTAAGCACTTTTCTTTCTTCTCTCCTTGCCTGATCAGCTGGACGGCCAACCGCCATGTGATGTAAGCCTGCAAACGAAAGCACTGTTGCAGATAGAAGAAGAGGTGGTTGCTGCTGATGTAGATCTATAAATATACATTGTATGTCTTTTTCCTCTCTTTTTAAAGGAAGAATAACCATTTTTTTTTGGCCTCTTTAGATTACATCAGAGCATTATAGTCTTGATAGAACCTGTATTTTTGTTGTTGTTTATTTATAAGAAGGTAATTACGTGTGGGGAAAAGTGCAGTATTTACTTTTTGAATTTAGCATCTTAAAAGCACAAGGGAAAAATAAGAACTTCAAAATATTTTTGAGGCTGGTAATGATCTAGTTTGACTTTCTAGTGGTGTTTTGAAGAGGGTTATTTCATTGTTTTTTTTAAAAGGTTCTGAAACATTATTTGAAATAGTTAATATAAATGTGTAATTGCATTTGCTCTGTGTATTGTAATGTATACTAAATGCAGAACCATATGGAAAATTTCACTAAAACCCACCCGCAAATTTGCTTTCTGTATCCTTCTTTTCATCTATGTAATATTATGATTAAAAAGAAAATTTAGCTTATATAACATTTTATTTGCTTGATGAGGGGACCTCTGTTTTCTTCACCAGATTTGTTGCTAAGCAATTCCCAATAGAAAGCTCTTCTTTTCACTAATAAAAAATCATAGTTTGTATGCTGGAAGTTTTCTCCAGAAACTAGTGAGCCTTTCTGTTCAACTGCATTTGTAAATAAACTTGCGGATGCATTTAAGGAGTAGTAGTTCTTTTTCTTCGGTGTGTGTGTGTATCTCCCTTTCAATCTTTTAATCATATTTCAGAATGTGGCTTTTCTTGATATTATGTTTTATTTAGCATCTTTTCTGAGGTATAAAATTGATATATAATAAACTGCACATATTTAAACTGTACAATAGATAAGCTTTGATATATGTGTATACCTGTGAAACTGTCACCACAATCTTGATATTTTTTTTACTAAAAAATTTTGACAAGAAAATATTTTTGATGGAAAATTGTTTTTGAATGCAGTGTTTTTATGGTAAGAGGTGAAGTGAATGGTGAATTGTTGGATCATTTGCATAAAATATTTACTTATTTTTTTGCTTCCTCAATGATAAAAGGAGAATATAACTGAATTTAGAAAATCTATAGAGCAAAAAAATATATACATACTCATGGTTTCAAAATCTGGAGGGGGAGTGCAAGAATACAAAACTTGAGCATGCTTTGAGCAAAAATATAAACTTGAATTCTTTATAATCATGAAAGTGGAGTGGATAATTCTAGGATATAAGAACTATTGGAATAGGTTAGAAATATATGAGAAGCTCTAATGTGGGAGAAAATTAAAAATTTAGTTCATTTTTATTTTTGTTTATTATTCTTTATTTCTGATTATTAAAGTAATGTGTTTATTAATGAAAACTTATCAAATGCCCTAAAGCATAAAGAATATAATTCTCAATTCCAAACTCCAAAGACAAGAGCTCTGTGTTTGAAGTCATTCTGTATATGGTTATTTACCCTGCGTTCTTAGTTCACATTGGATTGTGAATTTTTCACAATCCCATTGATTTTTCAAAATCCCAATGATTTTAAAATCATTTCTACTTATCTTTATTAATGGTTACATAGCACTCCATTGTTTGGTGCTATTAATATTGATGCTTCCTCTACTGTGTATCTTGTTTCTAAAATTTAACATTTTAATATATAATGTAGTTATATGTAATGTATATTAGAAAAATGTAAACATATTTCTAATATACATTCTGTGATGGACTCTATAATCATTTCTATTTGTTTATATTATTTTTATAGACATGAGATTATTGGCATTTTAAGGCTGTCATAATACATATTGCGTGCCAAAGTGGTTTCCAGAAAGATGCTACCAGCTTAGACTCACACAGCAGCACATGGGCTTGGCCATCTCATTGCATGTTCACCAGAATGAGTTTCCGTTGCCTTATTCTCTGCTTGACATGTAGCAGCCCTCACTATGCAGTAGCTGAATAAATTAGTAAACCACTGCTTCAATTTCTGTCTTGTTTATTCTGCTTGCTCCTGCCTCCAGTGAAAGCTTTAATTCTTACATCATGAGTTCAGTTTTCTTATCCAACATCTTTTCCGATCATTACTCCTTTTCATCTGTCTTTTTTCTTTTCATCTTGTTGATTTTTCTTCTCAGTATGTTCTTATGACTTTTTTCTCATTTCTTGCATTTTCTTAGTGTTAATAATTTGTTAATAGAAATTGTTAAAACAACTTTCAGAGATTTTCTGCTAAGACATTGGCTCTATAGGACCTTTGTATAAGCCCATGCGTATTTGTTACTTCATCTAGGAACAAGGGAAGATTCAGTCATTCAACGTTTTTTATTCAAACTTTATGTGCCAGGCACTGTAGAGATAGCAGTGAATAAAGACAAAGTCTTGGCTCTGATTAGGCTTAGATTTCTAGTTGGGGGAGACAATGATAAAGGAATACAGGAAAACGTAACATGCATGTGGTGATATGGGCATTGAAGCACAAATCAGGAGGACTCATGAGTGCTGGAAATGGAAGTGTGGAGGTGCTTTTTTATTTGGGTTGTCTGAGACAGGCTCTCTGACATTTGAGCTAAAGCCTGAAGGAATAAGGGAGGAAACCTTACAGATATTTGAACGGAAGTCATTCCAGACATAGGGAACAGCGAGTGCCAAGTCTTGAGGGAGGAGAATATTTGGTGTGTTCGAGAAGCAATCATGTGGTTGGAATGGAATGAGTGAGAGAGGGTGGTAGGAGGTGTGGGGAGGGCAGACACAGGTCAGCAGGCCATTACAGGATTTTGGCCCTTACCCTGACGGGATAGGGAGATTGGAGGGTTGAGCAGAGGATTGAAACGAACTGACTTATGATTTAAAAGGACTTCAGATCACTGTGTGAGTGATAGATTGCAGAAGGGCAGTACAAGCCAGAGAGACAAGTTTAGAGTCTATTGAAATTGTCCAGGCAAAAGATGTTCTCTTCTACAGGGTAGGAGCAGGGGAGTAATGAGCAGTGGGAAGATTATACTGTGTGTGTGTGTGTGTCTTGAAGGTGTAGCTGACAGAATTTGATGATGAATTGGATGTAGTGTGAGAGAAAGGAAAGTCAAAGTCTAAAGTGTTGTTCCGAGGACTGAAAAATGGAATCGCCATTTTCTGAAATGGACAAGGTTGTGGGTAGAGCACATTTGGGGTGGTGGGACAGGGAAATTAAAGGTTGGAGTTTTAAACACGGTAAAGTTGAACAGTCTCTTAGATAAACAAATGATCCTGTCACTTAGACAGCTGACTATGCAAGTCTGGAGTTTAAGGGAGAAGTCCAGGCTGGAGCAATAAATGTAGAGTCATCAGTATATGGATGGAATTTAAGCTTAGAATCAATCAGGAGGATGTCACCTGGCTTCTGACTGTAACTAGAGCACAGATGTCCAAGGACCGATTCCTGCAGTCCTCCAGTGCTAGAGATCAGAGATGCAGAAAACTATCCAATGAGGCAGGAGAAGAACCAGGACTCCAGGGCCCTGGAAGTCAAGTCAAGACCATATTTCGAGGATGAAGGGACCTGTTGTGTCAGATGCTACCCAGAGATCCCGTAAAATGAGAACTGAGTTGACGATTGGCGGTCATGCACATACTGGTATTGGTGGATTACCCTTCTCAGGTGTTCACTTGGGGGGTCGTTCATGTATATGGTACCTAGTCCAATTTCCAGTGTCTAGCAACATTTAACTAAATGTCCCTGATGTTTTGTCTTTTTCTAGTGAGATGAACTGAAGGAGAACATGGAAAGCCATCTCCAGGCCATTTTCTGTCTGTGCCCTTCCCCATAATGTATTAAGAACTAGAACTGCACTTCCCAGTATGTTGTGAGTTAACTTGGCATGTGTGGTTCTTGCCCTTCACCACCTGCCCTGTAGTTTCTGGGGGAAGTCTCAGAATATTATGGAGAGAAAGGGACTGGGGTTGGAGTACACTGGCTGCCTTGAGAGGCAGAGCCAGCCACCGGGGTGGCAATTCCATTCTGCTGTGTTCTGATATGCACATTTTGGGTCTTTTAGCCAAGACACATGCCATGGTCACTCTCCCTCTTTTCAAGCTACTAAGAAGCCTTGGTCCTTAAGTTATGATTCACAGTTCAGCTTCATGGTGGTTGATGGAAACCCACCCGCCCTGCATTCTAGCATTGGATTGGTAGTGTTAGATCTCAGTGTTAAGAATTTTCAGTGTCTTCCTGTATGCTTTGTGGGAAGCAGGAAGAGGCCAAGTCAGATATTGCTGTCTAGATGTCATATTAAGGCATAAGAAAGTTCTGTTTTAAAGTTTCATAAGTTTTCTTGAAAACTACTTCTTTATATTCTTGACTTAAAGAAGCAATAGGTACAAATGTATTTTGTGGCCTTTCATTTCTTCAGTTTCACACTTGAGAATCACCTGGGTATGTGGGGGGAGGATTAATCATACCTCTTTTTCCTCAGAGTGCTGGGTCAATTGGGAATCTTGACAAGAGGCAGTGACCAAAAATATCGGCTTCATATCTGCCGGGAAACTTTCTACTTCTTCTCACTTGAATCAAGCTTAATGATTGAGGATTGAGTAGCGAAGAGAAGAGCTCTTTGTTCCCCATGTTTGTGGGCTAACTGCATGGAGGAGAGAAGACTGCATGTGACCTGTGGACAAGCAGCGTCAAAAGACAAGGTCAAAGAAAGATTGAGGGGCCAGGCCATGTGACTGGCAAATTCTAACATTCAGTCTGTCTCAAAAGGTAATATTTGAGCCAGCCCTGATGGCCTAGTGATTCAAGTTCAGCACTCTCACTGCTTCGGCAGTCCGGGTTCATTTCCCGGTTGCGGAACCACACCACCTGTCTGTCATTTGCCATACTGTGGTGGCGGCTCACACAGAAGAACTAGGGCTCACAACTAGGATGAACAACCATGCACTGGGGCTGTGGGGAGGAAAAAAAAAAAGAGGAAGATTTGCAACAGATGTTAGCTCAGGGTGACTCTTTCCCTGCAAAAAAAAAAAAAGGGGGGGGGTAGTATTGATCACTCTTCCCCTTATGGGGAGGTGCGAGTGAGCCGAGTAGAGAGAAGGGATGATTTCTTCAATATTTTTGAGAAAGCCGATATTTTTATTTTGTGGGTAGGCATGACCGTAGAGAAGGGGAGAGAATAATTTTACTCCCTTTATGCATTAAAACCTGGAACCTCTCTAGTGCCAAATTCAGGAAGGAAAGCAGTATGAAAATTAAATTTTTTCTGATCAAGAATCTAATCTTGGCATTTTACTTGAAATTTTCATTTATATCATGAATGAGAACTAGCAAAAAAGATGAAACTAGATTCCAAGGAGTAGGCATGGGATAATAACTACTTCCTGATGTTAGAGTTGAGAGACATATCTAAAAGGGTATGTCAGGGTTGGGGTTTTACTTGTTTTATTTAGCGCTTTAAAAGCCTTCCTTGCAATCTAGAAGAGGGATTAAAAGGCATGCAAATGTAAGTCCCAGTTCATGCCGGTAAAAAT